CCATGATCACATTGGAATCTTGCCCAGGAGGCTCCTTAGTTTCTAGAAAACCAAGGAAAAGGAGTTCCCTTTAATCTGCTGGAAGTCTGTTCAATGACAGTGCCAGGAACCTGGTTTGGGTGTACAGAATTTAAGCAAGTACCTGTTACCCCCTTCACATAAACAGAAACACAAGTCTATGTAGATAAGTATTCACTATGAATATTTTACAGGACACTGGCATTAACTTAGTGACTAAAGATGAAAGCCAAGAGAGTAATCTGCTCAGATGTTGCACAGAAATTGTCTCTAAATTTGTCCCTTAAGTCCAAACCAGAATCTCAAGCCCTGGTCTCTTATCACAAAGCCTCACTCTGGTATGCGTACTGCCCCTCAACAAAACTGCCATGGAAAACTGTCTTGCATAAAATGTGTGCATCCTGGATTCCAGCCCTGCACAACCCCATTAAGTTGTAAATGGGTTTTATTTGCTGAACAAATGTTAATGCCGTTCTACGTTAATGGATAAGGCTACAAAAAGCACCTAAGTACTACAGCGCTAGAACTTTAAGGATGAAATATTGTGTAACTTAGAAAACTGTCTGTTATAAACATATGTCAGCCATGAGGGCTTCCAGCCCTAATCGCCCATCTTCATAGAACTCAGTTATAATTTCTCCCTCAGTTAAGTGAATTTTGCAATAATGCACAGATTTATTAGGTCCCAGGATCAAAATTCTCTGAGTAAGAATAAAAAATAATTACACTTGAGAACATAATGTAATATTCAAATGACTTGAAAACAGTTACCTCAGCAAAAATAAGAGAGGGGAGAGAAAAAGAAGTTTCAAGGCGAGGTTGGTAACGCTGGCCATAAAAACTCTGTGAGTTCAAGTGCACAAACACATGACCCAAATCATAAACACATGGAAAAGGGAAATCTCCTGTTCACAGCAAAATGCCTGAGTGGTTTCATTAATGAGTGGGGGGCTGAGGGACTCCTAATTTAATAAAACAACATAGTCGTTAAGAGAGAGAGGGTGCTGCTGCCAGATGGTATTTGTTAAAATCCCAGCTCCACCTCTTACCACCTTTGTGACTTTGGACAAGTTATGTTTAACTTCTTGCCTCAGTTTCTTCATCTGTGAAATGGGGATGTTAACAGTGCCTCCCCCATGAGGCGGCTGTGATGGCCAATGCCTTAACACACGCGAGGAACTTAAGTGTCTCATGCATCATAAATGTTTGCTCTTTATCACTTGCTAGTTGTTATTGTATGTAGGATTTACTACAAACAAAAAGGGACCTGAATGGAACCCATGACCTTTCCTCACACGAGGTCTCTGAACTCAGTGACTCCATTTTCTCATATCTGGGTTTTGCCCAGTCTGCTCCACAGAACCAGCACTCTGGTAAGTAACCAATGACATCTCTGTGGTCCAGTCAACTGGGTGGTTTTTGATCCTTGTCTCTCTTGTCCTCTCGGAAACTCTGAGGACCACTGAGCTTGAAACTCTCTTTCCATGGATTCTATGACTTTTCACTGTTACAATTTTCCCTCAGCTTCGCTAGTCACTGCCTCTCATGTCCAGTGGATTTTCTTTTCCCTGGCCTTTAAATGATGAAATTCAGGCTTCCGCTGCGCTTAGTCTCTAGTCTCTCTCCAGGCAAACTTACCCATTTCTATGGTTTTATTACCAACATATTAATTAATCCAAAATGTTGGCTTGCAGCTCAGACCTCTGTTCTGAGCTCCAGAGCCACATATGTTCATTTACACTCTCCAAGTTATTGGAATGTCTCAAAGCTACTTCAAGCTGAACATGTCTAAAACTAATTTATAATCTCCACCTCCCCGCCCCCCAACCCCCACTAGCCCCATCTCCCTCAATGTTTACCTGTCTGTGAGTGTCCCATAAAGCATCTCTCATCTGGATATAGGCAATAGCCTCACGCCCCTCTTTCTTCTTCCCTCTTACCCTCAATCTATTCTCCATAGCAACCAGAGCTGTGAATTTAAATTGCCAACCTGACCACACCCCTCCCTGGTCAAATCCTTCACGGGCTCCCTGTGCTTATGGGATCTTGAACATGGCCGAGAAGGCACAGCAGATTCGGCTTCTCCTGCCAAGCTTTATCCACTTACGCCATAGCTATTCTGGCTTCCTCTGTCCTTTCTGGGTCTCTAACAAGCCAAGCTCTTCTATTTCCTCTGCTTGGAACCCTTACCATTCTTCTCCTTAGGTTGATTTCCTATTCATCCTCCAAATACAGTTCAAATGTCCCTTCCTCAGGGAAGCTGTTCTTGACCCCAAACTAGGTCACGAACCCTACAGTAAGCTCTCATAAAACCCTGAGATTTACTACAAATAACATTACACATTTATTTATAAGATTTTTAAAATGTTAGTATCTATCTCTTCCAGCACATTGTCAGCTCCAAGGGGGCACGGGGTGATGTCTGTTTGGCCCACTATTGTTCTCCCAGTTTCTCCCACATGGAAAAGGCATGCTAATATTTGCTAAATGAATATCTCAATTTTTAACATTTTCGGGCATTTTTTGTGACCCTGCTCTTCCTCCACAGCAACAGAGAGCCACTTAAATGCAATGGCTGCATATAACAAGAACCTCTGATGACCTTGACCATATCAGGTTTACCTGAGCTGATCACAAGGGGAGAAACTGGTAAGGAAAGTTGGGCTCCACAGAGACTAACCATGGGGACCCGGTGCTAAAAAGGCCAGTACAGCATATCCACGATTTACAGCAAATGAAATGTTTGTGAGCTATCAGAACAATACTCATCCTGCTTTAGAGGGTTCTTGTGATCACTCACCCATTTATTGTCTGAACAAAACTGTGAACTCTAGATCAACAGACACCAGGGCCACAGTGTGGAAGGAATATTGATGTGTGACAGATACACAACAAATACAATAGGCTGTCGCTGAGAAGGGGCCTTGTGCTTGCGTTTGGAGGACAGGACATGCTTAGGAAAAGAGGCGAAGGTGATCCTGGAGAATGACTGATGTGAGTGAGGCAGGGGACAGCTAGAAAGAACAGTCCAGGCAAACCTGAGAACACTGACATGATCCTCCAGGAAGTCCCTAAATACCGATGACTACTAACATCTTAGGCCTGACAGGTGATGACAGAGAGGAGAAGGCTCACCTGGACAATACCAGCACCACCATCACCTGCGTCCCAGTCTATAGTACCTCCCATCCGAGACCACTCCTCATGGACTCTAGGAAGAGTGGAACTTAGAGAGTGCTCAGTGGTCTTCTAATGAAGCCACCATCTCCAGTACCCTTGACCTTGTTTGTGCCTATAAGTCAGTTATCTGGTTAGTCCAGCCTGTCCCTTTAGTTCCACGCCTGATTCAAGGTGGGCCATGGCAACGGCAGACCAGTGGTGTAGTGTACGAGGGGTCAGCATCATGGGGAAGTAGGGAGGGGGCCAGGGGTATGTGAGGCTCCCATCAGCTCTCTTGAGGAAAAAGAAATAATACTTTAAAGTCTTGGCTGAGCATTCAGTTTTATTCTAGTTAGGTGAATTTTACATTAACTAAACAATATAATTTTGGTAAGTGAATTACTAAAGCTCTTATTCAAACTTCGAACTCTGCTTGGAATAGGGAGAAGAAAGGTCAAATGACAGATTTCTTCTACAGCCTCAGGAAAGATAAGAAAGGACAAGAAGGGTTAGGGTTTTTTAAATAGCAATGCTAGAGAAGGGATTGGTGTGTTCTGGTATTATCATTTTGTAGATGTAAACACCATAATCAAGCAAAGGAAGATGGCCCAAACATTGATTATTTGGACTGAAACGGGAAAGTATGTTGAAAGAGAAAAATAGGAAAAGAATAACAGCATTTTATACGATCTGTAGTTTAATCTGAAACAAAGCCCCAGGATAGAGATAACATAGATATAAAATACAATATGTATCTTATTTAACATCATACTTAAATGCCAGAAATGAAGCTACCTACTTTGACAATTGTTTTCTATATAAATCTCTTTTCTATCTTTTCTATATAAATCTGCCAGAAAAATAAAAATCATTATGAATTCAACAAATTAAACCTCAATGAATTATTCTGGCCAACTTGAGAGTTAAAAGATTGATTTATGACATAATACTTTCCAGGAAGAAAAAAAAAAATCCTGCTTCTGAAAACAATTTGATGGTTAAATTTTACACCAAATAGTTATATTACTGTAACTCACTAGCAATTCAAGGAAAAGTATGTAGGATGTCCGAAACTTAGAAACATATTAAAATAAAGGTCCTTTTTGCTTTATAGGGTCTTGCTATACCATCTGGTCTAATTTGTCTTGGTGTTTTGCCCAGGGTAGTGTCAGCTTTGAGGGCTATAAATGATTAGGTTACACCCCTAAAAAATATGAGTGAAGAAAAAACATGGGTTGAAGATGACATCCTGATTATAAGTTCAGATACTCAGGAAAACACTAACATGGGGGAACAGCCCGACCTAAGTGAAACGGGTGTGAAACGGTTCATGGAGGCGATCCACTAGAGATGATGATGATGAAAAGGACAGGCTTACAAGGGTAATGGGCAAAATAATACCATGCAAAACAACACAGAAATACATTTTCAGATGCTGAGACACCTCTTTGTCAGAGTGCTTCTGAGTCTAATTAAATTCAGGAGAAAAAAATAACAAGGCTACCCAGCATGACTGGAAAGTATAGACTATGAACGAGTCCTTCCAAATAGCAGAGTGATTAATGGGGGCATTCCACTGGTCCCTTTAATACAGTGTCGCCTCAGCCCATGCAAAGCACCAGGCTGAGGCGGAGCTCCGAGACTTCTTCAAAGAAGCATTACTTTGTCAAGTGTCATTTAGGCAACTCGTGTGCTGACCCTCAGGAAAGGTAAACATTGGACAACCAACAAACATGGGCTGCCTTTGACAACGCAGCCACAGGACTCCTTTCTATTTGGATCTATGTCCAACCAGTTGCTAAAATTTGTAAGAATATTCTTACCCGGATGATTTCTTCCACACAGCTGTTGGTTTCTCCGGATCTATTCTCCTGAAAGCAAAGGAAAAACACATTAAGCCCCATAGACCACATTTATGGCTTCAAAGAAAAGATGACACATAAACTTCTGAACTTAACAGAGCTTAGACTGGGGAATGCCTAAACTGGGACTTCCCGATAAGCTCCTTTTCTTAATGGGCCAGCTCCCATCATGGCTGTGACTGCTCCCCTCCCTGCACTGTGCACTGTGTACAGCCTGGCCAGGGGCACCGCACATGCCCCAGAGATCAGTTCTGGGTCCTTTAACTATTGTACATCGATTCTAAGCCATGCAGGCTTAGAGTCACAGGACACAACCGGCAGGTTTGAGTTCTTTTCACCTTGGGCTCCATCAAAGTGAGCAAACAGATCCAGTTCACCCACCAAATGCATACAACGGCCTGCTGAATACAAGGGTTGCTACAGCTTAAGGAAAAGTCTGGTAGTTCCACTGTCCTCAAAGCCTAAAATTACTGGCTCGATGGGCCCAAACCTGAAAGACCAAAGGAGAAACATCCTCTCAACGTTTGCACGGCATGCTGGGTGTCATACTCCAGAGTCACTTGCTCTGTAACCCATGCTGCCCTGTGCTGTGGAGATGTTAAGGGCTCCGAGGAATGGTGGCTTCAGGTCACAGCTGACTCTGGGGAACAGTGTGAGTTTCAGAGATGCTATGTGGTTACTGTGGGTTACACAGCCCAGAGTACAGGAGGTGGTGGTTTTGTGGGGACACGAAATCAGTTTTGGCTGGCAGAAGTGTCTACTGGGGTTTCAGGGAGACACTCCTCTTGGCCTTTTAATTCAATGACATTGGCGACAAGTCAGCATGCATCCTAGGCTTTCATCACCCTGAGACACCATGCCCATTAAGCAAGAAATCCCCAGCCCCTGGTAACCACTAATCTAATTTCTGTCTCTATTCTGGACATTTCCTATAAATGGAATCATACAACATGTGGCCTTTTGTGTCTGGCTGGTTTCCCTTAGGATAATGTTTTCAAGGTTCATCCATGTTGGCGGCATGTATCAGTACTTCACTCCTTTTTGTGGCTGAATAATATTCTATCGTATGGACATACCACCCTTTGTTAACCCCTACATCAGTGGGTGTGCATTTGGGTTGTTTCCACTTTGGTACTGTGATAGTGCTTCTGTGAACATCTGTGTACAAGTTTTTGTTTGAACACCTTTCAAATTCTTTTTCAGTTCTTTTGAGTAGATAGCTAGGAGTTGAACTGGTGGCTCCTAGGACACTTCTATGCTTAGATTTTTGAGGAACTGTCAAACTGTTTTCCACCCAGCTTGTACCATTTTACATTCCTATCAGCAATGTATAAAAGATCTAATTTCTCCACACCCTCACCAGCACTTGTTATTTTCCATTTATGTTTTGGATAGTAGCCATCCTAGTGGGTGTGAAATGGCATCTTGTCGTGGTTTTGATATGTATTTCCTTAATGACAAGAGATGTGAAACATCTTTTCATGTGCTTATTGGCCATCTTTATATGTTCTTTGGAGAACTGTCTATTCAGTGCCTTTACCCATTTTTAATTGGGTTATTTCTCTTTTTATTATTGAGTTGCCAGAGTCCTTTATATATTCTGGATACTAGAGCCTTATCAGATATATGCTTTGTACATGTTTTCTTCCATTCTGTGGGCTATATCTTCACTCTTTTGATAGTATTCATGGATGTACACAATTTTTTTATTTTGACCAAGTCCAATTTATCTGGTTGTTTTTTTTTCTTTATTGCTTTGCTTTTGGCGTCATATCTAAAAAACCATTGCCAAATCCCAGGTTACAAAGATTTACCCATGTTTTAAGAGTTTTACAGTTTGAGTTTTTATACTTAGGTCTTTAATCCAATAGTTTGAGAACTTTTTAGGTGAAACTCATTTCCTTATGGATTATTTGGTAAGTTTATTTAAAAGAGAAACATTATCTTTGCATAGATTACTCTATCCTAGTCTCATTATTAAAAGATCAATAAGGAAATGTGTAAGGCACAGTTACTGCTGCTAATAGTTCACGAACACAACATACGTGTCTATCCTTATAAATCAAGAAAAACACTGTTAGGTTATCATGACGAAATTAGGAGGCCCAAATGCTTTTACTAATATTTCATTACCCTTTCCTCCACTCATCCCTCCTTTTGTTTTCCTAAAAGTTCCAGTTTGGTGACACACATCTAAATAAACCTCTACTCACATCCCCAATGACTTCTCCCAGGACTGCTCTGGAAATGTCACTCTTCTGACACTCCAATCAAATTGCATCAGGGAGCTCTGTTTGGAACCCACCCCACACCTGCTGCCTTTCCAGGGCAGCCTGAGGCAACCACCACAGAGGCTGTTGGTAACTTCTCAGTTAGGCGAGGGTTTGATGGTCCTTTGGAATGATCTCCTTCTGAATTCAGTGGTGGGAATGAGTGAAAAATGTTTCTTCAAACCCTTTTCATAACCATTTCTCTTACCCTACGTCCAAGTCCCAACCCTTTCTTCCCATGTAACATCCTGGCAGAGCAAATGCTAAATTCTCAATGTATTTCCTATTTTCCATCTTAAAACAATGAATAAATGAAAACTTGACTTCATGTTCTCCTGGTGGACTCACTCAGGTACACAACACACTAAAAAGACTCTTCAAATTAAAGGCTGGGTTTGATTCCCTAAAGCTAAGCGTCCCCTGAATAACACACTTGAATTTCATTTTAAGTGATTTATATAAATGACAGGTTGCTTTTAGGAGTATTTCTCCCTATAATCCTATAAATTTCCCCAACTCTACTTTGAAAAGGGAATGCCCTGAGAGAGCAATGCGGTACAGATGCCCTGTTAAATACTTCCCACATCACTGTAGCTGGAATATGTAGGATAATACACTGGGTCATCTCAATGGTAGCTCCAACCATGAGCTCTGATGGTCTGGAATAAGATCAGGTCATTTCCTACTGGAAGGGCCCCTTATAAAGCTGAGGAGGGATAAGAAAGACTTCCAACAACAGTCTCAGGAAGTTTTTCCTTAAATTACAGCATGGATAGTCCTTGGCAGAGGAAAATCTTGGGCCTTCTCTGGAACATTTCTGACTCCTGGGGACTCCTGAGGATCTAAGAAGGGTGCCACATTGAGTTTGAATTTCCAGGATCCCATCTGGATTGGAGTGGATGCATGAGGCACAGTATTACAGAACGTTTGAATTAAACGGAACCTTGGAGTTCATTTTAGGCCAATGCAATGACTAACAGATGGAAAAATTGTGGCCCAGAGAAGTAGAGAGCTTTGTCCAAAATCATCCTGGCAGCAAGAGGTAGTAAAGATAGAACCCCCACACACTTCTGCAACACCAATTCAGTGAATTTTCTACTATCTCAGGCTCTCTCTCAAGTTGAGAACCAGCTCAACTTGAGGTCACTGCCATACTTAAAAGTATGGAAATAAGAGAATCTGGATAGTAAATTTCCTCCTTCCTTCTCATGCTGCAAATCCTCCGACAGTTAGTCCACTCTGTGTCTTACTTACTAACCTCCTATAACACGTGCTTAGACCAAAGGGGAAAGTGATAGGAAAGGAAGTGGAAAGAAAGCGTTAAAACTATAGTCCCTTTGGTGACATGAACAAATGAGAGCCAAGGATTTGTGTGCTTAGAAACTGGAGGACAGAATTCCACCTCTTCTTTTCCAAATCCACAAAAGGGGGTAGGTGGGGAGGACTGGGTGGGCAGGTGTAGGGGTGTGTGTGTGTGTGTATAGACTGGAGGGCCTTTCACCTTCTTGTGGTCTTTCTCAAATCTGGTTTCAGCTGCAGTTGTGTACTTTGATTATATTTACATTTTAAAACTCTCGGTGTTTATGAACGAGATTAAAACATGCATGTAATTTACATCTCCAAATTTGTGTTTATATTTTCCACAATGAAGTTACTGTTTTCCTTGGAAAGGTACCCACTGAGAAGGAGGGCTGCACAATGCAAATTTTAATTACTCCGTATTTTTTGAGGGTTTGTAGCTGTTGCTTCATGCTGAGTTGCTGAGCCGTTGCTCCGTATTTACTCCAACTCTTGATGAACCCACTCCATTTTGCTATCATTATATTTTGAAATCTGTCATAACAGTCTCACCTCATTGAACCTCCAACTAAACTTCAATTAAAAGCTAGCAGCCCCAGCTGATTCTCCTTCTCTACAGCCTTGTCTATCACGTTCCCTTGTCACGAAGCTGCTTTCCCCAAATCCTACCACTTAAGAATGCACACCACACACTCTGCCAGGAAAATGGAAGGAGCTGAGTACAGCGGGTCCCTGAATAATGTCGTTTTGTTCCACATCGTTTCGTTGTAATGTTGATGAGATGCCACAGGGACTTAACTCTTGTTTATATCAATTAGCCTATGGTAAAACTTTGTTATAGATCATTTCGCTTAAAGTCACAGAACCTACTGACGACTAAGTGAGGACTTAATGTATAGCTCAAGAGATAGCCAGGAGCGAGCGTCCTATCACTGAGAACAGAAGTCCCTAATTACCATGCCAAGCACAGAGTCCTGGAAGAACCAAGCAAGGCGTAAGGAGAAAAGGTTGATCAAATCAGTGGGAAATGGCATTTCACTGTGGGGGAGATGAAGCCGCACGGGGCCTATTTTCAAAAATAGTTTAACTCTTCATCAGGCACATTGAACGCAGAACTTTCATTCCAAAATAATACTACTTTAAAGTCACAATGCCTTTGTCTGCAAGTACTCAAAAGGCCCTCAAGCATTTAGTAACTGTTCGTCACATGCACCCTCTTAAATACTTCTGCAGAAGTATTCTAAAGTAAGTCTTACTATTCCTGATCTACAAGAAAACTGGGATACAAAGAAATGAGGTGTGCCATCAATGCCACCAACGCAGTGAGTGAGATTCTGAGCTCAAATTCGGGTGAGGATCTGAGCTCAAATTCGGGGGGTCATCATAATTCTGTGTGAAGCCCCATTCAATGACTGTGTCCCCGGCCTCACCTGAAGCTCA